TCTTCCTCTTCGTTCCGTTTCTCTTCCCGGAAGCTCGGATTCTTCACCCGAGGTAAGGGAAGTTAGTTTTCTGGTGGTGTTTTGGTTGAAGTGAGTCTGAGAACTCAAGTAGTTGGTTTTGATTTTCAAATTTCTGGTTGTTGGGTGTGGCATTGGAGTTTTTGGGGACTTTGGGGAGTTTGGGGAAATTCTTGATTTCCTATGATTTTGTGGATGCATGTATGAAAAAAATGTCGTTTTCGAACTCTTGGATGGAAATGTGATACTTTGGCTGGATTGCATGTACTCGAAAGTGACTTTTACAGGTGTTTGGGGAATTTTTTCGAACTGGGTAGGGTTGCAGATGAGCTTCGCGCTGAGCGCTGTTCATCGCGCTGAGCGCGTGACCGCCAGGGGACCTCATTTAGTCAAGCTCGCTGAGCGCCTTGATGAGTGCGCTGGGCGCGCTTGAGAATGTGGGTCTCTGGTTGGTCCTCGCTGGGCGCGACTTGGACTGCGCTAAACGCGATACCCATTGTAACTTGTTGTTGGGCTCTAGAGGCTGCGCTAAGCGCGGCCTTTGTCGCGTTGGGCGTGAGACTCCTTGGGAGTCTCAGCCTCGTGGGCGCTAGGCGCAATTCCGAATTGCGCTGGGCGCGAGACCAAGGGGTGGTCTCTGCCTACCCCGCGCTGAGCGCTGGGTTAGGTACGCCGGGCGTGGGAGACTCCTTGAAGTCTCTGCCTGGCCTGCGCTGGGCGCAATGGATATTGCGCCAAGCGCGGGAGAGCCTTGTGCTCTCTGGCTGAGTCCCGCTGAGCGCGAGCATGCTTGTGCTGGGCGTGCTGGCCCCCTGGTGCTCTCTGGTTGTACCGTGATGGGCGTAACCATGAGTGCGCCGGGCGCGAAGATGAGAAATCTTTATATGTTGGTTGATGTTGTTTTATACTTAGTTGAGTTGAAATAGATGAATATAATGTGATGACTAATGGATGATGTTGGTTGATTGATGTTGTGTTGTATATTTGTGTTGTGCTGCAAGTTGACATGTTGAGTTGTAAAGCTGAGTTGTGTTGAAAGTTGATGTTGAGTTGTACCGCTGTGTTGTGTTGCAAGTTGACATGTTGAGTAGCAAAAGTTGGGTTGTATTGAATGTTGATATGGATTGTTGTAGGCCTAAATGGTTGAGTTGTTGTAGGCCTAAATGGCTGAGTTGTTGTAGGCCTTAATGGCTGAGTTGTTGTAGGCCTAAGCGGCTGAGTTGTTGTAGGAGATCTCCGAGGTGATATGCGTGACGACGCATTTATATCCAATTGCTGGTTGGTTGTATAAATTGATGGATAGTAGAATGTTGTTGTATTGGCGGTTGAAGTTGTTCTAATTACTTGAATTTTGTTATACGTTGTTTCTTTCTATACTAGCTTACCCTTTTCTGTTTCCTTGTGGTTGGACTGCTATGATCGTACTATGTACGGGAGCAGAACAGGAATAGGTGTTTGGTTCGTGGTGAGTAGGCAGCTGATAGGCGGAGCTGGCTATGTTTGATTGGTGTTTTGTTGTAGTGGCTACTAGGTGTAGCGGTTGGCGTTGTATCTTGTTTGGTTTTGTTGTTTTGGCACTCTAACCCTAGTCGGAGTAGGACTTTGTATATATTTATATTCTAGAACCTATATTTATATACTTGTTCTTTCTGCCTAGTGTTTCCGGTGTTCAGTGGTGTGTGTAGGACCTGTCGGGTCGTTACATTATGCATTCTAATTAAATTAAATAATGTGTGGATGTAAACTAAATTTCACTAATCGAATGTGTAAAAATATTATATCATTGTTTTGTAAACAAATGATAAATTGGTAATAAGATTTAAAATATTTTTTCTTGTGTTAGTTCTTAATGAAATTAGAGAATGGATACTCTCATGCAATTTGTCTACAACGTCTCTCTATCTCTCATTATAACCATTTATTTTTTTATGCATCTAAGGGCTACAAATGAAAGTTTACTATCACATGTCTTCCTCTAATTATGAGCTCAATTTATGCATTTTTGTTATTGTACACTCTTTGTAATTCTGATATGGCATTTATTATGTAATTATATTTACAATTTAGATTATGCAGTTACATTTGACCAATCCTTTTTAGTTTGTGTTGTCAATCTGTTTCATTTATAACTCAAATTATCCTAAGTTTACAACTCAGATTATGCTAATCTATCTTTTTTAGTTTCATTTGACCATGTCTATTTATAACTTAGATTATGCTAAGTTTAGACAACAGTCATTAACAAGTAACTTGTAGTTATATACAAAACCAATGCAATCAGCAACCAACTCAACTTATAATTGTTGCACAAAAGGAAATGAATTTCAAATGAATTAGAGCACTACAATATCATTTTCAATTGAAACCAATGTCTTTTACAACAACAGTTACATTTTTCAGCCTCTCTGAACTATAAAGGCTCAGTACAAAATCAAGAACTTGGGCATTTTCTAATAATTGCCATAGATGCTAATGGCTTGTAATAGCTTTGTGTAAACTAAATCAAAGGACATGAAACATGCGAGGATCATCATCAGTGAACAAAAAGTTTTGGCCCAAGTTCAACAAAGATCATCATTAGTAACAGGAAGAAACACAGTCACATGGAGAACATAAAGATCCATTCAGCCGACCAATCTCCTTGAATTTGGGCCTCTTCAAAGCCCAAATAAATGTCCACGTTCTATTCATTGATTGAACTTGTTCCAAAAACGGGTGATACCTTCCAAATTAAAGTAAAGTACTTCTGATTTGATAACGTAACTAGAAAACAAACCAGCCCAAAGGGACAGAGGGTACAAAAAAGCTAGTTGGTGTTGGACACATTTTTGAAACACAACACTATATATACACGAGAGAAATTAAATAGCGCAAGTAATAAAAAAATGAAAAATGAGAAAATATTATCTTTAAATAAAGAATACAAATTAATTGATTACGCTCGGCCTTTAAGTTAATTTGATTATAAAACTGGTTGATAAAAAAAAAATTTGATTATAAAACTAATTCTCGATTTGAGATTTGGTTAGCTACATTTTAACCTTCCTTACTTATATGTGGGAATCAAATCCAAGATTCAATATTATAAACTTTGCATATATTTTCATTTCAGCTGGGATATCTTAGAATAGTGGATTTGAGCTTAACTCAATCTTACAAAATCGGCTTGTGAGGGTTGTTTTCTATTTATATACTATTTAATTGCCAAAAATTCAATACACTCTCTCACGTCTAACACTATTGAGTTTGGTACGTGAATAAATAGTAGGTGACCCTTTTTAATGATCTAGGTTGGCAGGAGTTGAGTTTTTAGTCTCAATACACTCTCTCATGCCCATGGTATATGTATCAATGGTAGGTAACCCATTTTTAAGGATGTAAGATAGCTTCAATATTATCTTAGAATAATAGATTTGAGTCTAACTCGACCTTACAAAACTAACTTATAAAATGAGGGTTGCTTTCCACTTATATATTATTTAATTGCCTAAAACTCAAAAAGATATACTAGTTGGGTTAAAAAAACTAATTTATATGCATTAGTTACACTGTGATTTAATTGTAAGTTATTTTAAAAGTCATTTATGTTATTGATAAAGGTGCTACTATTTTTCATAACAGTTCATCGTGTCTACTTTTACATGGATAAATTCACCTCTATTTTTATTTTGTAATTTTCTATTTTTTAAAAATTATTTATAGATAACTATTTTATCTCTAAAATTGTCTACTTTTCCTTTTATTTTTGTTTTTAAATAAAATATACGAAAGTATGTTTTCTTTAAAACTATTTATATATAAAGATGTTTACATTTATAAACTGCCTGGTGCCGACACATAAAGTTACTCTTTTGGAGTTTTAAGCACGTGTCAATTGGATCGGATGCTTTAAGCATTGAAACAATTGTGTTGAGACATATATGCTAAAATTAAACGAAAAGATAATTCATTCAAAAAAAAAAAAAAACAAGAAGAAGAACATCAAGTAACAATTTATGCAGAAAATCACATTAATTTTATGGCCTTGTGTCTCTAACATAAGCAATGCAACAAAGTTAAAATAAAAATGTGTAAATATTTACGTGGAAGATGTTTGACAATTGACATTCTCCCTTGCATTAATTCTTCTAATGACACTAGACTTAGACATTGCACCTTATTTTTGTGGAGATTTTTTTTTATTCCTTGGTATTACAACTATATAACTTAGTCATAGTATGTAATGAAAATTTTCGATATGATTTTTTACGTAAAAATTTATTAAATATTATTGATTTGGTTCTTGACGTGATTAATTTTATTATATAATATTAATTTCATTTTTATACATGTAACACATACTTAATTTAGTATGTTGTACATTATTTGATGAATGTCTATATATATAAAATATCAAATTAAAAATATGTTATAGATTAAATTAAAAATATACTATATATATAACAAACAACTTAAACAACTTAAAAATATGTAAGAAGTTAATAATTTTAGAGACTAAAAATCAATAACTATTGCATGTGTAAAAATAAATTTTATAAATTTTTTATGCACTAGATTGAAAATCTACGACAAATATGAAAATCAAGTTATATGTGCCAATAATATTTATAGTAGTAAAAAAAGTTTAAGAAAATTTATATTAATATATAAAGGAGATACTTTTTTTTTTAAGTAATTACCTTAGTTTCCATTTTTTTTATTTTATCATTATACTCTTTTATTTTAAAAAATTAAAAAAATTATTTTTTAATCAAATTTAAAAATTTAAAATTAATAAATTAATTATAATATTAATTAAATCAATATACTTTTATTATTTAATTTTTATTTTTATTTTATTTTTAGTAAGACACAAAGTGGGTCGATGCTACTAATGATAAATAGAATGTAAAAGTTTAGTGAATTTTTTAAATTAAAGTGTGGCACGTGAGAATAAGACGATATTTATATTTATTTATTTTGATTGTAATGTGTTTGCTAAAGAAGAAAATAGCGTTAGCGTAAGAGGGGTGCATTTTGTTTGGAGCGGTAATGATCAGGTTGTTGAAGGCAGAAGTGGCGAATTAGACACCGAGAAAGGAGCGGTTCTATATTTCTCGCGCGATTCCTTTCTTCATGCAACAAAGTGCAAGGGATTCAATTGCCAAATCCAAACGACGTCGTTGGGCGATGGAAGCACCTCAAGTGCTGGATCTCTGAACTCTCCGGGATTCGAATCTCCACTCTTTCGCAATGGATTCGTGGCTCAAAGCCGCTGAAGGTAACGGATCTCGCATCTTACAATCCTCCAATTTCGTTATTCATTCCATCGGTTTTTCAGAGCTTGGAGTTTTACTTGGCGTGGATGTTTTGTTCGTCACTGAATCTGACTGAATCTAATGTTAATGCTGATGTGCTCATGTGTAAGATTATGCTCTTCAAATGACGTTGCCAAATGTTTTGATATTAGTTTCGGTGATGGACTGTGATGCTTATCTGGTAGAAATTAGGGAATGAACCAGTGAGTATGATGCAAGTGCAATTCAATGAAGGATGCATTGTCTAATAGAAGTATTGCTTTGTTTTTATTGTTTGGGAGGGGGAGATGGTGGTGAGAGGGAGTTATAAGTTATAACACGTGATGCATTTTCGTTTCAGGATGTTATAGTTATGGATGTAAGTCTTTCATTTTGAGCTGAATTCTGACGTATAGTATTTTTTTTTTTTTTTTGGCTTTGTTTGAACAGGTTTATTTGAAGTTGTTGATCGACGAGCGAAGGCTGTTGCTGAGGAGCAGTCTGATTTTAAGACTCCAGGTTTAGATTTTAGCTTTTTTTTTTTTTTGGGTTCACTCTCTAGTTTGCCTTCAATTCATGCTAAATATTTTATATGGAATTAGACTTGGGTTATTGCTGCAGAGTTGTGTTGCCAATTTAAACCTGAACTTCCAATTCTTATTGGCTCTCTCAATTTTTTGCTTGAGATTGAGACCAGTTCGGTTTAAAACATTAAATGTTTGTTTGGTTCAGCTTATTTTGAAGAAATAATTGTTTATTTTTCATCGCTTATTTTTGTTAGTTTCCTTAGAGAGATTTTGAAATATAAGGAATTATTTCCACAAAATTAATCTATATGAAACATGCACCAAGGGAAACATTTTATAAAGTCAGGAGAATGGAAGCCCAATTTAATGCTTCAACTGTGAAGTTGTAAGAGGTAGAATTAGAGTGTTCTTAGGAATTGACCATACCTTTCATGCAGTAAGATAAACTTTTGTTATGTCAAGAGAAGCCCAATTTAATTCTTCAACTGTGAAATTGTAAGAGATACAATTATTGTGTTTATAGAATTGGCCATCCCTTCGAGGAAAGTAGTATTGACTTCACATTTTTATAAACTAGAATATTATATGTCATACCTTCAAGAGGATTGGAGTAGTTAAGAAGAATCACGGATTGTTTCAGCTCTTGGAACAAAATGAATTGTCTACTTCTTCTATTGGAATAGCAGATTGTAATTCTGTTTCATATAACAAACACATTACTGATATTGGCTCTGTATGGCACAATAAATTGGGTCACCCCTCTAATAAAATTCTTCAAATCATTTCTTCTCATCATACTGATATTCCTTTTCATAAAATTGATGCTTGCGACACTTGTTCTTTTGCTAAGCAAAAGAAATTATCTTTTCCTATAAGTATAACCAAATCTACACATTTTTTTGAACTTATTCATGTTGATATCTGGGGTCCCTTAAATGTTCAATCTATTGAAGGTTACAAATACTTTTTAACTATAGTAGATGATTATAGTCGTTTCACATGGATTCATCTCATGAAAAATAAAACTGAGGTTAGGAGTATGAACTCATCAAGGATTCACATAATATTCTCAATTACATCTACTAGACTTATCATACTCAATTAGGTCATAAGGTTTACCTATCAAAGTTATTAATATTCCCTAAGCAAATTTAAGCATCTTAATTTCAAGCTTAAACTTCTCCCACATCATCAAATTCACTCGTTCATATAGAATGAAACAAAACACAAAAAAAAGGAGTGAGAAACATCTTACTTTGACTACTGGTGTAGAAAATGGTTAGATAGACACACACATACATAATAATAACTATGCATATTAAACAACAATAACAAAAATTATTAATCACATTTATAATTCTTAATAATCAAGCATACTAGACAAGATATAATAAGGCTTATACCAAACATCTCAACATTTATCCAATTCATAGTTCCAAAACAATAAGTAAGCTATGATCATGCAATGGACAAGACTCTCCTAAAATTATATGCATGTGGCGCTAATAAAATCACTTTATCACGATTTGAAAGCATGAGTAGCCTAGGAGAACCTATCGGGTCAAGCTATCACAACACTCTACACTAGAAGAAAATACATTAGTGGTGCATATCAGGACAACTGTGCTATGCAAGTTTCACCCCATGCATGCAATTGGACAAGATTGAAACTCTCAAACACAGTTGTCCCCAAGGTTGTGAATCCCTGAACTTTTACACAAGGGGGACCTTTCCTAGCAATATATTTCACATCATACTCTTCACAAACTTTATGCATGGTCATACTAATCACATTCATATTTCACATATATTCAATTTCATATCACACTAGTCACATCCTTGTTAGGCTATTCACCCAAATTTTACATTGCTATGTTAAACATAGACTTAGACTTATCACATGGTTTATCATAGTTTTCTCACATGGGTCACATCTCACTTTAGTTCAATCACATATGTGAACTCATCAAGGATTCACATAATATTCTCAATTACATCTACTAGACTTATCATACTCAATTAGGTCATAAGGTTTACCTATCAAAGTTATTAATATTCCCTAAGCAAATTTAAGCATCTTAATTTCAAGCATAGGTTACCTTCATTAAAATTAGCATCAAATGGGCAAGGATCTCAAGGCAAGAAGACAAAATCAAAGCCAAAGGTATTGCCACTGCATTACTATCCAGCATTCATAGTAATGTTCATGTAATATTGACATTGAACTTCTCTTCTGGAGTGTTAAGGAGAGCAGGTTCGAATTCCCATAGCATAACATACTAATTACTAACATTTGTTGATAAAAAAAAAACCACATTGAACTTCTCGAGTTTTGCAGGCTCAACAGGGACTATCAAACTCATCAACTATAATTAGTGATACTACTAAGGAGAAAAGTGGATCCCCAATAGCACCTGTGGATGTAACAACTTCAATAGACAAAGTTGATCCTGAAAATGATGGAAGTGCTTCCACATATACAAATCAACCAAAGGACCAGCAAGCTAGCGATCCGACATCACCCTTGTTAGGTACTTCATTATCAAAAGTGCTTGGCAATGATGTTGGTAAACTTGACACGGATGACAAAGAAGCATCAGTAAATGAAGCTGATGTTGGAGTTGCCACTGTTGCTGCAAATGGTGATCCTGCCAAAGAGAATGCTTCAGACATTCTTGAGATGGATCCTCCAGCTCCCAAAGAAATTGAGGGCCCCAGTGATGAACTCGTTAGTACTGGCCAAATTATCAAATCTGGAGATTTAGATGCCAATAAAAATATGGATCAAGAGAAATCTGAATCTGTGGCTGCTGACACAGTTCCTAATAATGACACTATTCTCAGAGACTCTAATGTAAAAGATGATTCTAATGTGAACAGAGAAAACCAGGAGGATCATAAAACTGACATCTCCCCCAAAAAAGTACAGGATCAACTTGAGGAGGTAATACTTATAATTGGGAAGTTTATACGTTCTTACTTATACAAATCTTTATTAAAAAAATTCTTCTGACTAATTTTTTTAGTTGGTACATAGGCTCAAGGATTGCTGAAAACAACAAAATCTACTGGTCAGTCTAAAGAAGCAAGGTTAGCTCGGGTAAGAATGTGGGTTAAACCAACATTTCTGGTGGTTGACATCTCCATAAGATTCAAATAGAGTGTCTTTCTAATTGCTTATTATAGATGCCTGATGGATATTTTCTAATAATGTTCAGGTCTGTGCTGGATTATCATCCCGCCTTCAAGAATACAAATCTGAAAATGCACAGTTGGAGGAACTTCTTGTTGCAGAGGTGAAACATTATCACTATCTCCTGTTCAAAGGAATAAAAGGTCTCATCATATGCTTGAAATAGAAACATATTGACTATTGTATCAATTAATTATTTCTAAATCTACAGAGAGAGCTGAGTAAATCATACGAGGCTAGCATAAAACAGCTACAGAAGGATTTGTCTGAAGGTAAAAGGGAGGTGACAAGAGTTGAATCAAATATGGTTGAGGCCTTGGCAGCAAAAAATGCTGAAATTGAGGCACTGCTAAGTTTTATGGAAGCTGTTAAGAGGCAGGCTGCATTGTCAGAAGGAAATCTAGCTTCCATGCAGGTTCCTCTTAGTTAATTTATTGAAGCGTGCCCTGCAGTATTTTATTTGCTTCCATGCAACTTCTGTTTCTACCTAAACTATTTTTGGTGCAATTTTCTTTGATCTTGTGGAAGGCCTTTTTTTAAATGAATAATGAACAAGTTGGACTTGCTTCGGTGTTGGCATCTATTAGAGAAGTCACTTTATGTTTAGCATGCACATTTACATTTATATTACGTTGTCATTTCACTATAATTTCCTTTACATTTCTTCTGTTAGAGTTAGTTAGCTTGTCAGTTAGTTTGTTAGCTTCTGACTTAGCAATGAGTCGTACAGTTCAGCTATAAGGTTGCCCTCTCTGTACATTTTCTTCTATGAAAGATTTACAGTTCAGTTTATCTCTGTTCAGATTTCTCACTCTCTCTAATTCTCTGATAGTCTGATTCTATTAGCAAATAGCATCTTACATTTTTATACACAAGCTTGGCTAATTGACATATTGTTTGAAGTTTGAATAATCCCTTTCTCCGAGTGGGTCTAAGAATCTTAAGGTCTAATTTGTATACTTTTATTGTTCTAGTAGGAGTTTTTGGTCTATGAATGATAGGGGTTGTTAGAAATTCATATTCACTTGCCCAAATTTTTTCCACTATCCAGAAGAAATCTACCACTTCTTTCTTTCAGAACATAATATGACCTGCTTTCTGCCCATGCTATATCTATAAGATGGTCATTGATTTGTGGCGTGTGTTTGTTTGTATGCGATATCTGTTAAAATTTACTTAGCAGATATCAGGGAATCTTTTTACTCAAAGAATCAGGAAAATATTGGGCTATTGTAGACTTGTTGGACTGAGCAATATAATGATCTTCCTACTTCAGTTTCCTTCATTAATTTCTTTCTGTAGTGTAGGATTAGTTATTTCACTATAGTTTGTAACTTCAATATATTCTTACACTAGAGTGTTACTTATAATTATGGCTCGAGTAACACTAGTCATATTTTACCAGGCAAGCATGGAATCAATGATGAGAAATCGAGAACTAACAGAAACAAGGATGATGCAGGTAAGTAGGTTCTCTGATCCATGTAAGATTACTATAATTATACAATATTTCCCATTCATGTGATGAAGCTGTTTGCATATAAAATCTTATTCTGCTTTTGATGGTTAATTAAACTTAAGCATCTACGTTGTTTTATTTTTGTCTTTTAAATGATTAAACATGTTTGTTGATGTTAAGTGATTAAGCCTTATATTACGAATGTTGCTTAGTAAATAAGTTTTTGTTTGTTGGCTTTAATGATTTTAGTCATCGTATATGTTTTTCCACCTTAGTTATTTCACTTTTCATTATATTTTTCTTTAACTTGCATGCACTTGTCCTAAAAAAACACACTTGGCATCTACTTGTACTGTAATTTCAAACTGAAAGTGTTGTACTAATAAATCACCAGTTTAAGTAGTATTGAAATTCATCTTCTTTGTGTTCGATTTTGTGAATGAATTTCTTTTTTTTACAATAATCCAATTCATTTACTTTTTTTTTTTAAACAAATGAATGGGTAAAATTATTGATATAAGTATTACTTTACCGGCTCTAGTTTTCCTTATTCTTCCATAACCTAAAAGATACAAGTCGCAACACATAGTTCTCTGGACCAGACCACACATACTTGTATATATTGTATTAAGAGTTAATCACTTATATACTTTCAGGGAAATTTTTTTACACTGGTAACCAATCATATCTTTTAAGAGTTAATTATCCATACACTACCAGTGTAAAGTTTTTTACACTGACAACTAATCATATCTTTTAAAGTTGTTTATTTTATTATTATTTCATTAAATAAGCAACTGACATGACATTATTAAAAGATATAATCAATTATTATTGTAAAAGAAACTTTAAACTGACAGTGTATAGGTAATTAACTCATATTTTAATAGTGACATGTCAGTTGTTTATTTAATGAAATAATAATAAAATAAGTAACTTTAAAAGATATAATTGGTCACCAGTGTAAAAAACTTTACACTGACAATAATTAATTATATAAAAATGTTCCAATCATTTTGCAGATAAGATCAAAAGTTGCCTTTCTAGATGAAAATTATGATAATAATAATGATAAATTTTCATCCTTATGGAATTTAACTGTGAAAGTTTGATGTATTAAGATGCAGGCATGGCAGGAAGAATTGGAGCGTGCACGTCAAGGTCAGAGGGAAGCTGAAAACAAGCTATCTTCATTAGAGGCATGCTTTTTTTAATTATTTTCGTGTGAAATTTATTTGAGATAATAACCTCCTGTCTTGCAGGTCAAGTTGAACTTCCCATTATTGATACGTTTGGTTTCTCTGTTTCAGGCTGAAATGCAAAAAATGAGAGTTGAAATGGCTGCCATGAAGAGGGATGCCGAGCATTACTCGCGTCAGGTAATAATTATGTGTTCCTTTAATATTCTCTTGAATAAAATTTAAATTCACCAGTTGGATATAGAAATAAATAAAACCTCCGTGTTTCTTTGTGGGCAAAACTTAGACTTAATGGTCATACTGCTGCATTTCCAGTGAAATTTTCAAGTAACGTCCTCGTGTACTGCATCATTTTCTGTAGTTTTTATCATATAAGCTGTCTTGTTTCTAATTTTGGGGTTAAATAACAGTAAAAACACTTGGTAAAACCATTTCTTGTCTACAAAGTTTATCGATAAGTGTATAGCATATTTAGAGTCAATGTCGTTTGTTGTTTATTGCCACCAATTCAAAGCACTTTCGATTTTCTGTATAAATATAACTAGAGCACATATTTTGATTATTTTCTATCTTTTATGCATATTAAATGTCACTGTTTAGAAGTAGACCGTTCCCCCTGTTTTTGCTACTTTACATAACTGAAACACTTACTACTTTTATGTTTGTCCCTCTGATTCTTTTGAAATACATACTACTGATACTAGACCTCAATGCCATTTCTTTTATCAAAAGAAAATGCAAGAGGAAAAAATTTCCATGGTCATAGTTGAACCTGGCTGTGGTTGGGCACATAGCTGAAAACAAGCTATCTTCATTAGAGGCATGCTTTTTTTAATTATTTTCGTGTGAAATTTATTTGAGATAATAACCTCCTGTCTTGCAGGTCAAGTTGAACTTCCCATTATTGATACGTTTGGTTTCTCTGTTTCAGGCTGAAATGCAAAAAATGAGAGTTGAAATGGCTGCCATGAAGAGGGATGCTGAGCATTACTCACGTCAGGTAATAATTATGTGTTCCTTTAATATTCTCTTGAATAAAATTTAAATTCACCAGTTGGATATAGAAATAAATAAAACCTCCGTGTTTCTTTGTGGGCAAAACTTAGACTTAATGGTCATACTGCTGCATTTCCAGTGAAATTTTCAAGTAACGTCCTTGTGTACTGCATCATTTTCTGTAGTTTTTATCATATAAGCTGTCTTGTTTCTAATTTTGGGGGTAAATAACAGTAAAAACACTTGGTAAAACCATTTCCAGTTGAGGAACAATCAGTTAATGGTTACTTATTAACCACCTAAGTGGTCAATTGATAATTGTTCCTGATTTTTTTTTTTTTGACAATTAAATCCTTTTAGTAATTTTTTTTTTATTGTTCACCATGCATGAATTATATTGATAACAGTAAAAAACACTTGGTAAAACCATTTCCAGTTGAGGAACAATCAATTAATGGTTACTTATTAACCGCCTAAGTGGTCAATTGATAATTGTTCCTAAATTGAAAATATTTTTTACAATCCTTTTAGTAATTTTTTTTTTTGTTTTTCACTATGCATGAATTATATTTTGAACATTGGTTTTTGGCACTTGATATATTAACTTTGAATGAAAGTATACCTGTGAATTCGAATGGGCTCAGTTCCAGATATAAAGGTTCATCTTTTTTTAATGGTATTATGGAGTGTTATCCAATTTGTCTAAGCATCAATGATTTCAGTTGCTTAAATGATAAATTGCACTTAGTCATATCCACCATCTAAATCTTCAGAAATATATTTATTGCCGATTATTGGGTGATCTAGTTTATTTTACCAAGACAAAAATTGCATCGAGTTTGAAATGGGTGTCATGATTTATTTGTTAAAGAGTAAGCCTAAGCATCCATGCATCTTCCCAGTCACATGCATGTATTTAATATAAATCAGATATTTTACCTTGAGTAATGCTTTTTTTGGCACTCTTTTCCACACACTAATCTTTAGCCTGTCATGCTATTCTTGTGTGGATTGACATATTAGAATGTTGAAGTTATCTTGGTACTCTTAAAAACTGTATGGTTTGGTCTTATGATAATTTTGGAATGCTGCTTGTTCTAAGCATCATCTTAATCTTGTAACAGGAGCATATGGAGTTAGAGAAACGCTATCGAGAACTAACTGACCTTTTGGTAATTTATATCATGATTAAATTTCATGTAAATACTTGCGATATATTCAATAAATTTATGTGCTTCCTTTATTTCAGTACTACAAACAAACACAATTAGAAACCATGGCCAGTGAAAAAGCTGCCACAGAGTTTCAATTGGAAAAGGAAATTAAGCGTCTTCAGGAAGCACAGGTATGTGATTAGGTTCCTGTGGCTGCTTGATCAGTAGTTTGGCTTCAGCTTGATTTTCACAATCATTGTTATATTAACAGGCAGAGGCCGAAAGAAATAGAGTTTCTCGTCGGGCATCTTCATCTTGGGAAGATGAAAATGAAATTAAATCCCTTGAGTATGTTTCCTCTTACTATCTTATTAGCATTTTACCTTGTTTCTCTGTATTGCATTTGCTTAAAATGACAGCCTCGTTAGTCATATGCCCTGCGAGCAGCAACGGAAGTTGCTGCAAACCCATTAAAATGCACTGATCCTTTTGCGGATCTCTATTTGCTTACCCTCCCCAAGTTAAATCATCTCTTATATTTTCTTCTTATTCTAATCTGTCCAATACTTAATAAAATACTTAATAAATGGTTAAGTTAAAGCTGTGATTTGTTTATGATAACTGTTAAAATCACGTTATTACTCAGTTATGCTTTTATGTACTATTCTCTGTCTCTCCAAAAAGCTGCGCCATCTGTTTTTACTTCCAATTGTAGAGTTTGGAAAGTTATCTTATAAAGTAAAAATTGCAGGCCTCTTCCTTTGCATCACCGTCATCTGGTCGGTGCAAGTATTCAGGTATAATCACCATCATGTTTCATGTCATTTTTTCATTCTCCTTTGTAGCAATTTTTTACATTGTATGTGGCATGTCTCATGCAGTTGCAAAAGGCGGTGAAACTGTTAGATTCAGGGGCTGTCAGGGCCACAAGATTTCTCTGGCGATATCCAACAGCTCGAGTTACTCTATTTTTCTATTTGGTGAGATTAGTTCATTGGATGTTTAAAATGACAAATTGAAATAATACCATTGAAAGATTTGAAAATTTGCTTACCTTGATAAATTGCTACAGGTGTTTATACATCTCTTCTTGATGTATATCTTGCATCGCCTTCAGGTAAATATCTGATTGCAATATAGAATATATGCCAACTACTGATACATGCAAATCTTGTAAACTCTGAATTTTTTATCTTCTATGCAGGCACAAGCTGACACTATGGCTGCCAGAGAAGTTGCAGAATCTATGGGACTTTCTAACCAGAATTTACCGTGACTTATTGAAAATATTCTATCTAGGGCCTACGTCAGGTGTTAATATCTTCCTGACAACATATTTTCAAGTGTACATTTCCAAAGGGTTGCTTGATAATGGTTCAGCAAATGACTCAAGTATTGCAAACCAAAAGAGGAACTGTTGCAGGATGGTGTTGGGAAAATTGGAATTTTCTTTATAGCTGAATGGGTGGCAGCTTCTCTTTCTTATGTAGACTGTCCTGAGAATTGAATTGGTTAATTATATGTTTATTCGTTTTTTCTTATCTGAAAATGTATTACGAGTGGAACGATGTCGATACCAATATTTTTGTGAAATCCTTTTTATTCGTTCCGAGGGCAATTGCCAAATCTAAAGGATATACTGCACTTGAATGAAGAAAGTTGGTTACTAGATAACTTATTAGCCTCTAGATAATTACCTTTTTTCCCTATATTATTTAGATATAAAAATTATAAGACATGAATGGGAATATCATAATGGCAAATATAACGAACTTTGGTTTTCGCTGTTTCTCATGATAATACATGTCAATTTCGTTCGATGTAATTTCTAAGGCCGTGTTGTGTTAGATTTGGTTAAATGAATTATGAAGTGAAATATAATAGAATGAAATAAAATTTTATTTCCTTTAATTGAACTAGTGAAAAAAAAAGGTACTACATGTTTAGAAGTTACGTATAGGATCTAAACTTGTCCCCGTTAAAAAAGAGAAAAAATATTAAGTTTATTTTAGTATTTTGTATGGTTATTAGAAATTATATATAGTTATTAAGAATAAAATGAGGAGGACAAAAGTGAACACTAAATGAGAAAATTTCTTTTATTATTAATATAGAGATGTAGATATATTATGATAGAATAAAATGCTCATTTCCTTTATTATTAATATAGAGATGTAGATATATTATGATAGAATAAAATAAGATTCTTGTTTCGTCTTATTTTAAAATAAGAAGAAACATATTTTATTATTTTTCATAATATTATTACATCATCTGTTAAATCTAAATAATGAATGTATTATCATCATTTTTTTTTTAATTCTCTCCTACCAATTCAAACAAAGCTTAAGATTAAAATAGAAGAAAAAACTATTATAAAACTAGCAAGTATATTATACAATATGACAATTTTTTTATTATGCAAGTGCTTATTAATAAATTGTTTCTGTAATTGAAGAGAAAATACGAGTAGTTTAAATTTAAGGTGTGTTTGAATAAAAAACTTATTAAATGTTTTACTGGACAAGTATTTATCATATAATTGTTTCTAAATTGAAAAGAAAATACAGTTAAATTGTTTTCACACATGTAAGTATATGGCTTTGTTTGTTTTCCATTTTCACTAAAAGCCTGATATTTTTTAATAAACCAAAAAAAATATACAATTAATTTTAAAATTAATCTTAAAGTTGACCATTTTAATCAACAAAAGGTATAATTATTTTATGTAATACTATGCACAAGAAACATATTATATTAATATAAGTCCTGTTAAGTTATTAGTAAGAAGGTGATTCATTGTTATTTCCCTCCTTATTAACTCAATACTAATTAGAAATAAAATAGATGCTGTGATTTTTATTTTTATTTTTATGCATATATTTGCCAAATTACGTGCGTTTGTCTGGCAGATAACCAGAATTTACACCAACATACGAGGCAAAAAAATCTTAGGGACATTTTTTTTATCTACGATAATCAAATATAATATAAAAAATTTATAACAATTCACTACTGTACTTAATTATAGACTCTCTTAATTACTGTTCATTAAATCCTAGGTTCATTTGTCTAAGATGTTTATTTTTTACATTAAATATTTACATTCCAAAATACTACCTCCCATTCTTTATATATATAAGTAATTTTCTTATATAAAGGAGCAAAAATAGTATTGATGGATATTCGAATTGCTCTGAAGTCTGATCCATTAACAATTGCTTCCCTCAAGATGTTGACTTGAGCAAGAAATATATTCTACGAGCTCAACTCAACTGCTCGTAGATTCCTGGGCAAGATTATCACATTTGTAAATCAATTATTTCACCAATGCTACAAAGATAGTATTTTGTCGAATAGCAAGAGACAGCTTGGGGTTTACAAAATAACATGTTCAAGCCCACTGATCATAATTTGATGGTTACCTAGTTCTGTAAATAAGCACAAATTTGGCACCAAGAGAACAATGCAAAATGATTTTATCTCTTAATGGAAACTAACAAAATACTCAGCTATCTTTTAGTTCACTGTTTCATCTTGGTTCACTTCGTATTCCTCATCATCTTCATCCTCGTCTTCATCATCGCGTCTACTGAGTTGGGAGAATTTGCTCAGCTCAAATCTACCTTCATCACCGAGCATGTCGAACCCAAATTTTGTGTTGCGTTGCTTAACCAAAAGCCAACGCAGTAACCGGTCTTCCTTGTTTAGGTAATGTAACTCTTTGTTCATTTCAGGAGTAGCCATCATGCTCATTTGCATCAGCCCGCCCTACATCCATTAAAAATGGAAAATGGAAGCACATTACATTTCAATTGCATAATTGCCATTCAAACTTGAAAAGGATTCTGTAAGTCCTTTTTCAAGAAAGGAAGACTCTAAAACTAACAAAGTTTGCTGAAACTTCACTGCTGCAAGCAGAAAACCACACATTCAATAAAACATTTCACAATTTAAATTTTCAATATAATATGTTGCAAGTCACTTTTTTTGAGTCACATTTGGTTGATTAGTACTGATAACCATAACCTTACATGTACACATCAAATAAATCCACTTCTGCATCAGATCACCTCAAACCTAGAGTTATGTGAAACATTTCACCAAATCCTTTGACACCCATACCACTAAAGCCTTTTTTATATTAACCTACATTACATTAATTTGGTATTTTATATGTAGCTCTGTCTGTCTCTGTCCATGACTGATATAACCCTGATGACAACAACAGTTCAAGCAATGCGATTTTGATTTAAAAAGGGGGAAAAATAGTATTAAACTAATACTGCGGCACAAATTGCTCAGTTACTACAATGAGGTTAAATGGCAAGTAGTAAAAGTTATGTGCATGTACAGCATATAAATATCATATCAGAGTTAATGTCAAAGAAAAAGTTAACTACATTGATTGGCAAATGAATTCATAAATCTGAAATTGCAGTAAACTAAAATAAGAATTAATTAAGTTCCACCATCCCTATAACTCTAAATAATATAAGAATTCAGTGAATAATATAAGAAAAAACTAGCACACAAACATGCAATGCTTGCATCAACACAGGTACAATAAAACAGCATAATAAGGAACCTATAAGGGACATCAAAAACAAAAGGTAAATGCATAAACTCTCATTACAATACAACATCACAAATAACCAATCCCACCTCATAATATCTGCCATCTAGCTTTTTCACACCATAGCCCAACTGAACAGTTCCGAGATTCTTAATACCAGTGACAACCCCATTTCTTCTGTACACATGTTTTCCCACCCTTACAACTAAATCCATTATGGCTTCCTTCTTTATATGCGGCTTAAACAGAAACATACAATCGTAAGGAGGCATCTTATTCCTCCTGCACAGATTCAGCCAAGACAGCTAACTATCTATCTGCATGCATCATAAAAAAAATTGTCAACAAGCCTAAACATATTAGCTAATACCATCTTTCAAATATATAATCAAACATAATGATCAATATTGAGCAGAGACGGTTCATTCATAATAGAGTAAAATATATTTTTAATCCCTCAAAATATTTTGAAATGTAAGTTTTAGTCTCTATAAAATTTTAAGAGTTAATCATCTATACACTTACACTGACAACCAATCAGATCTGTTAATAGTATCTTTTTTATTTTAATTTAATTAAATGAGCAAATGACATGACACTATTAACAGATCTGATTGGTTGACGGTGTAAAAAAACTTTACACTGACAGTGTATAAGTGATTAACTCAAATTTTAATATGTATTTAGTCTCTGATTTAACCAAAAATTACACATTTTCAGTCTCCAATGAGGGACTAAAACAACATCACTTTTGATAAATATAGACTAAAATCGTATTAAATTTTTAAAAAAGAGACTAAAATCAACACTCTAAAATATTTTGAGACAAAAAAACATATTTTACCCTTCATAATAAAATCACCTTGATTGGGATCAGCTCTCAGTTTAACAATTAATCGGACAGTAGTGTGACCATAGGTATGCTTTATTTTGTGGTGGGGTTTCAGAAATTTCATGGTGCATATTCAATTTTGAGAAGGGACGAGATTTAAACTATAATCGAGTCAATTACAGTTACAAAGCAATGCACGCACACAGAAATCATAGAATGATGCTGTCAACGCAAAATTAGGAACATTGAAGAAGTCATGGACACAGAAATTCGTACCTTCAGTAGCGGCTATGGAGTGGAAGCTTCACTATGACGAAGGCGATGTAGAGAAGTGTGTCTTTAACAGAAAGTAGGGTAACAAACGACCTCGTTTTTCAAGTTGTTTTGTTTCCGATAAACTCAATGGGCCAAAGTCCAAGCAACCAAACAAACATAGGAATATTTCGGGCTAGAAAAAAAAAAAATATCGATATTTATAAATAAAATTCATTATAAATTTTAAATGATACCTGCTTATAATAAAACATAGGTCGATAATAAGGTATTTATATATATGTAGGTATCCGCCCTTAAAAAATATTAAATAATATTTTTAATTATATATAAAATAATTTGATTTAATTTATTTTTACAGTAAATATATGTATCATAATTATTTTTTTAAGTATAAATATATGTTATTAAATTATTTTTAATAAAAATATGTATTTTTAAATTATTATTTTATTTTATTTCTTACTTTTTTATTCAAAGTTTTATATTTTATCAAATATTTACGGATATCATACATACTCGTAAATATATAAAAAAAATTCATAGATATCCACTAAATAGATACACATGTTAAATTGAATGGGTGACAAATAACTACACGTTTCTCGTTGCTATCCTTATAAGTTAAAATTGAAGCAATGTTTTAGAACGTATACAAGATACATATATTTATTTTATATTGTTATAATTTATAATAAACAAATATTTTTGAATATATAAGTTATCTTTTTTATAAATTAAATACTATAAACTACTCAAATGTTAAAACAAATAACTTTTTCAATCACCGAGCATAATTTATAGTGTTAGTTACCAAATAAATACATCTACTATCATGGAAGATGAATAGATCGATGACTTATCAATAATCTCATAATAAATTAGAGATATAAAAAAAATATCAATTAACATATTTAAAAATAAATCTATGTTTCTTATAATTATGATCAAAATAAAACTAGGTTTCTCATATATATATGCCGAGCGCAAGTGGTGTGCGTCGGGCGAGCTGGAGGATGGATGCCCCTGGATGGCTCGCGCCGGGCGTGGTTGGACCACGCTGGGCGCGTTATCAGTCAGTGACCCACTTTGTTGTGATTATAGTGTAGCACCAGGCGTGACTTTGTCTCGCCGGGCGTGGAGACTCCTTGGGAGTCTCTGCCAGTGGTGGCGCCGGGCACAATTGGTATTGCTTCGGGCGTGAGACCTTGGGGAGGTCTTTGCTTACCCAGCGCCGAGGGCGGGTTAGCACGTCGAGCGTGTGAGGCTCTTTAGAGTCAAATATTTAATTTCTCTTAAGTATAACTATAAAATATTTTTTATGTAGTAAAACAACTAAAAATAAAAAATTTGTAAAAAAAAAAATTCAAATTTTCAACTTCTTAAAAACACTTTACATATATTTTTTTTTAAAAGAAAGTTGTACAAGTTTAAGTTATTGTCTCAATATACATCCTACTTTGCAAGCAACATTTTTTTTACAGCTGAAAGTGGGAGAATTATTCTTTCCCAAACATGCTCAAATGGGTGAGGTAACAAATTTTTTCTCAATTTCACTTTTATGTTTCCTTCAATATAAAAATAAACACGTTGTACACTCAACACTCTTTTAACTATTTTTTTATTGTCTATTGAAATATAGTGATAATTAAAAATAAAAAACGAGTCTCATTATTCATGGGATTTTTTAATTTCTAATAACTTTCAGTTAATAGGTGTCAAAATAAATAAATTTTAATTAATATTAAAATATATTAATAGCTTTGTTTAGAAAACAATAGTAGAGAGAGAAAGAATGAGCGTAGCTTGTGTGGAGACAGAAAACTTACCTATTGGGCTTACAGAGCCCACCGTAAGGGACTCAGCCCACAGCATTTAAAAACAAGTTGGAGAAAAAAAAAAGCTGAACAAGTATTTGTTTAATAATTTAATTAAATTGAAATGCACTTGCAATTTAAAATTTACAGTATCATTTCATTCCTGAGTGACACACACACACACACAGAATTATATAATAATTATTTTAAAATTCTTTTAGAGAATATTTTTTATTGATTAACAAAATTAAAATCTTATTCTACTTTTGATGGTTAATTAAACTTAAGCATCTACGTTGTTTTATTTTTGTCTTTTAAATGATTAAACATGTTTGTTGATGTTAAGTGATTAAGCCTTATATTACGAATGTTGCTTAGTAAATAAGTTTTTGTTTGTTGGCTTTAATGATTTTAGTCATCGTATATGTTTTTCCACCTTAGTTATTTCACTTTTCATTATATTTTTCTTTAACTTGCATGCACTTGTCCTAAAAAAACACACTTGGCATCTACTTGTACTGTAATTTCAAACTGAAAGTGTTGTACTAATAAATCACCAGTTTAAGTAGTATTGAAATTCATCTTCTTTGTGTTCGATTTTGTGAATGAATTTCTTTTTTTTACAATAATCCAATTCATTTACTTTTTTTTTTTAAACAAATGAATGGGTAAAATTATTGATATAAGTATTACTTTACCGGCTCTAGTTTTCCTTATTCTTCCATAACCTAAAAGATACAAGTCGCAACACATAGTTCTCTGGACCAGACCACACATACTTGTATATATTGTATTAAGAGTTAATCACTTATATACTTTCAGGGAAATTTTTTTACACTGGTAACCAATCATATCTTTTAAGAGTTAATTATCCATACACTACCAGTGTAAAGTTTTTTACACTGACAACTAATCATATCTTTTAAAGTTGTTTATTTTATTATTATTTCATTAAATAAGCAACTGACATGACATTATTAAAAGATATAATCAATTATTATTGTAAAAGAAACTTTAAACTGACAGTGTATAGGTAATTAACTCATATTAAAAAAAAAAAAAAAAAAAAAAAAAAAAAAAAAAACATAAGTGTAAAGGATTACATCTTAAAATAAAGTCCTAAAAAGCAAATGCATTACCATTAAAAGACGTCCTTCAATGCCAAGCATGGAAATAATAACTTCCTAATGTCTATCTTTTTACATTGGACCACCAACGATTCATGACAAAATATCTGAATGTTTATGTGTGTTGGACAATTGAAAAGTTTAGTTAATCAATTTGATGAGAGAATTAATTAAGCAATGAATGCCCTATTACTATTTTCTTCTCATTCTTTGTTCTTTCATAACCTTGTTAATTCTCTCGTCCATATTTGTTTTCAGCTTTGAAAAAAAAAACACTAAACTATATATATGTAATATATGACCAATTAAACCATAAGACAAATGCTGGACATTGATTAAAAAATAAAAAGTTTTTGTTAAAAAATTAATATATACCTTAATATGTAAAAAAAAAAATAATTCATTAACCAATTAATAGTTCTTAGAACATAAGCAATATGTGAGATATGGAACAATAAAGAAGAGAAATAAATTACTTACTTTATCATTATGTACAATTTAATATTAATGTATTGGTTATTTTTCAGAATCACATAACTATTTTTTTAGTTTGTATTAAAGATATATCTCAATCGATACTCAATGACTAATTTTTTTAAGATATAGAGATTATCAAAAGTTTTGACTCTTCTAACAATTTTTCTCTCTATATATATACCCATGACCATGAATGAAACTCAGAACAATATATTTTTAAAAAATTGAATATCTACTAACTATATATATAAAACCTTATTGGTTCACAAAAATCCTCTTTGATGAAGGAAAGCTATGTATATAGGTGTTGTCTTTGTAGCACGTACTTTCTTCTCTTAAATATGTGGAGTTGAAGGAATTGGGGACCATAAACGGAGTAGCTACTGAATGTACACACATACATGCATGGATGATATAAAAGAACATTTCCAGTTTGAAAAAGAGAAAGAAAGAATGGCCCTTTGCTTGTGGTTGAGCAGGTAAGGTAGAAACTTATATTTGGAGCCTTATTAGTGGTACTATCGTCCTATCTACCATATCAAGTTTCAAAGACACAGATTATTGTCGAATTACAATAATGATCATGTAATTAACTAATTAGTGGCATTTTCAAGGACGTATAGTTGTTCTATAAAGTACTGGGGTGGTCTATTTTTATTTTCTTCACAATGACAACAAAATTAGAATTACAACTTAAGATTGTTGAATAACTCTTAGTAAAGTTACTCTATCCAATAACTCGTGATGTATGTTAAATTTTAACGATTTAATCGTTAAATTAAAAGTTCTTAATGAATAAATCAGGTTTACAAATTTTTGCAAAACTTGAAAATTATATGATATTTTGTTAAGATTCAAATTGACATAGGACAATTTGAAATTTGTAACAAAATACTAGTATCAATGTTTCATTTTATAGATTCAAATTTACATATGATATATTTTTATGAATATACATTGATTTGAATTATATAATAAAGTACTAGTATCAAATATTTTTGAAATTTTGTAAAAAATTTATATTAAGAACTTTTAATTCAATCATTGGATCTTTTAAATTTAATATAAAATATAAGTTATTAAATATAGTGAATCTACCTATACTTATTAGAGTAATTGGTTTCATCCTCATATATCTCTTAAGTGTAAGAAATTGGACTTGAAAAAAACATATGATCCTCTTGGAAAAAGCTTATGATTAACAACTCAATTGGGAATTTCTCATTGATACTCCGGGGGAAGTGGGCTTTCATGAACATTTTTGTATGTTGATATTTGCATGTCTTTCTTTTGTTCATATGAGATTGATATTTAATGGGGTGCCTACGAAGGAATTCTCCATTACTAGAGGGATCAAGCAATGTGACTCTCTTTCACCGTATCTGTAACGACCCGGCTGGTCATTATACACTACACCGTACACCTGAAACTGGACAGAAAAGAACTTTTTATAATTAGTCCTCATATATATATAGAGAGAGATTTATTTACTCTAAGAATAAGTTTACCTAGATTTACTTCGTTCAATAACTCATGTTTTACATCAAATTTTAACGATTTAATCGTTGAATTTAAAGTTCTTAATCCATAGATCAAATTTGTAAATTTTAAAAAAATTTAAAAATTATTTGATACTTCATTTCATTAATTCAAATTGACAGATAATTATAAAATCATTTTATACATCAATTTGAATTAATGAAACGAAGTATCAAATGGT